TTTCCCCTTTCTCCCCTGGTTTGGGAGGAAACGCATGAAGAGTTCGCTACTTTTTCGTTTGCCACCAGCCAGGCTGGTGTAGTGGCTTGAGAGTTGGGCTTAGGACTCTGGAGACTAGGGTTCGAATCCTGGCTCGGTCACTGGGTCACACTCTCTCAGCCTCAGAGGATAGCGATGGCAAAACAACAACAACAACAACAACAACGCCCCTCTGAAGAAACTTGCCAAGAAAGCCCCATGATAGAAGCTATCGTTAGGGTCGTCGTAAGAAACGACTCGAAGGCACACTACAACAACAGCGACACTTGGTTGTAGAGTGCCAGAAATAGTGCAAATTGAGTCCACTTTTAGGGTTAGGGTTAATGCTAGGGAATCATGGGAATTGTGGTTTTTTTCTGAGACATTGAGCCTTCTCTGTCAGAGAGCTCTGGTGCCACAATAAAATACAGCTCCCATGATTCCCTAACCCTAACCCTAACCCTAAAAGTGGACTCAATTTGCACTATTTCTAGCAGTCTGCAACCCCTCTGTTTCGTTGACCAACGAACTACTTGGACCTCAGTGTCGCCCTAACGCGTTTCTTCTCAAACAAGGGTCGTTAAGTTCCAAAAAGAACTCATGATAAAGTTTACTACTAGGTTCAGCCTGAGAGTGGAGGAGCTAAACTTGCAGTGGTTTCCAATCTTTGAGCCGCCTTATTTGGGAATGATTTTTTGGACTACAACTCCCAGAAGTCAATGGTCAGGACTTCTGGGGGCTGACGTCCAACAAAATATATCTAGAGGAGAACCAAAGTTTGGGAATCATTGGACTCCCAAAGTTTGGGAATCATTCAAAGGTGCTACAAGGTCTCTCTACATACTGGAGTCCCAGAGTTTGGGAATCACTGGACTCCCAAACTTTGTCCTCCAGATATTTTGGACTTCAGCTCCCAGAATTCCTGACTGTTGGTCAATTTGTCTGGGGCTTCTGGGATCTGACGTCCAATCCAAATGGAAGACTAAAGTTTGGGCACCTCTAGATTAAAGGAACACCCTTTGGGCAGTGGGAGAGAGGGGGGACTCCATGGTAGTTGTTTCTTTCCTGCCTGATCTTCCTTCTTACCTAAAGCTCTAAGGAAAATGAAGTTCGAAGGGCCACCAGTTAGACCAGCAAGGAGACTGGAGAACCAGTCAGGGAGACGAACTGGTGGGGAACTAAGGAGGCTGAGGGGCCTTCCAGGTGAAGACAGGTGCCAACTGACATAGGACACTTCTCAGGTATCTGTATGTTGTGTGTCTTCAAGTCATTTCCAACTTATGGTGACCCTAAGGTGGCCCTATCATAGGGTTTTCTTGGGAGTTTTCTGCAGAGAGGGCTTGCCATTGCCATCCTCAGAGGCCGAGAGAGTGTGACTAGTTCAAAGTCACCTACTGAGCTTGATGTCTGAGCTGGGAATCGAATGCTGGTCTCCAGAGTTGTAGTCCTACACTCAAGCCTGAAGGTATGAGGACGGGAAGTAACCTGCTGCTTATTCTTTGGGCACAGGTCGAGCTTAAGTCAATTTAGGTGGCACAAGGCTGGTATCTCTGAATGTGCTCTGCACTAATATAACATGTCTTGGACCAAAGCACGTGACATCTTAAAAGGGTGTATAATCTGGGATGTTGTCGTTGTTGTGTGCCTTTAAATCGTTTCTGACTTATAGCGATCCTAAGGTGGACCTATGATGGATTTTTCTTAGTTAGATTTGGTCAGAGGTTTGCCATTGTCTTCCTCTGAGGCTGAGAGCATGTGACTTGCCCAAGGTCACTTGGTGAGTTTCATGGCTGAGCAGGAAATCGAACCCTGGTCTCTAGAGTTCTAGTCCAACATTGAAACCACTACAAGCTAACCCGGGGTGTCCTCTGCTTATTTCAGGGCAGCAGAATATGATTTCTTTATTATTGTCTTTGCTTGTCAACATTCTTTGCTTTATCATTGTGTTAACATCTTTTTGTGTATAAATTTCAAAAAATGACTTTATAGAGGTGTTTTTCTAAAACCTTTGAAGGGAGTGTTTCCTGGCGACGACAACATGCACCATGCTGCGCCAGTGTGGTTAGTAGTTAGAGCACTGGACTATAAAATAATAATAATAATAATAATAATAATAATAATAATAATAATAATAATAATATTTATTTATATCCCGCCCCTCTGCAGAGTAATCGGGGCGGCTTACAACATTAAAATTTCCATACAGATATATTAATACAATTTAAACAGAACATAAAAATCCCAAATCCTACCCGTCCTTGAAGAAGTAAGGATTCTTCTTATTCTAGACCAGATGGTGCTGGGCCTAGTGCAGGGGTAGGCAACCTTTTTGAACCAGGGGCCGGGTTGCTGTCCCTTAGACAATTAGGGGGCCAAAGCATCAAAAATAAATAAATAAATAAATAAAAATAAAAATATTTTTTTTTTTAAAAATTAAAAACTTTTTTAAAATATGCATGCACACTCTCTCAGCCCCAGAAAAGCCATGGCAAAACTCCTGTGGAGATTTTGCCAAGAAAACCCCAAGAACAAGTAATAACAACAATAATCAATATCACCATGGTGGGCGGTGGCGGCAGGGAGGGGCAGTGGTGGCAAGACTGGCATGGGCCTTAGGTTGCCTACCCCTGTGTTAGAGGAATCAATGCATGACATAATCAACTCAAAATCATAAACAAAACATGGGTAGCCGAATATGGTTAGAGTAATTGACTGTAACAAAAAATTAATGGCTTGTACCAAGATCAAGCACAAATCTAGTGCTTATCAGTTTACCTTTACAAGTCACTGTACAGAACTCTAGAAGGTATGGGCAGGCAGATGTCTTATTGAGCAATTGACTAGAATAATACCTGTGTGCATTTGCTTCTATCTTCACAGCTAAAGGAGGGTAGAAATCCTGGCCTAGATCCCACTCTTAATTCCAGCTACAGTAGACACATTGAATCAATAGGATAATTGATTCAACAGTTCTGCTCTACCTGATAAAAGTCAACAGGATTCAGGCCATTGTGTATGTGTACATGTGCACATTAATGAAAACCAATGTTTCCATTGATACATCTTTGAAGGCTATCTTAGTGGGGCTACTTAGGACCTTATCCCACGCTGCTCTCAAAAGTGGCAAGAAAGCGATATGAGCATCATTGCAGTACTATAGCGCTAGTATAAATATGGCGCTAGCGCTATTGCAATGCCCGCTGAAACCGACATTCAAAAGAACCCGAATGATGCTGCATTCCGAGCGGTTTCTTGTTGGATTCTGAGTGACGTCGTGTGATCACCCGGAAAACTATAGCGCTATAGCGCCTGATTCTTAGCGGATTCTGAGCGACGTCGTGTGATCACCCGGAAAACTATAGCGCTATAGCGCCTGACTCTTAGCCGATTCTGAGCGACGTCGTGTGATCACCCAGGAATGTATAGCGCTATAGCGCCTGATTCTTAGTGGATTCTTGCTGCTTTTGGCCCCGTGGGATAAGGTCCTTAGACATTGCCTGCAAACTGGACAGAAGTGGGCACAACATTTGCATGGTCATAGATGAGAATCTGGAAATAGTTACTATAATTTAAAGACAAAAATAGAACCACACTACTCCCTATAGTGAGGGGAACACTGTGACCAAGTGAGCTTTGTGTCAACTGTATTTCCAGTTCAGATGTTGATAATCAACATCTGGGCCCTTGCCCCCACCCCCTTATGTGGTGTGTCCTCCCAAAGGGGTCAATTTACCCACTGCATCCAAAAAATTGCCTACTCCTGCCATAGACATGTTAAATAAGGAGTTAGAATGAAGCAGCTCTACAGATATTGTTGGACTACAGCTCCCATCAACCCTAGCCAACATAGTCTATGATGGAGTTGTAGTACAATAACATCTCAAAGACTGCATTATACTCACTTTTCTTTAGTTGCTAGAATCTAAGACGCATAGCATGTAGAAGAGAGGCAAGACACGTATTTTGATACTACAGAATAGATCTCTGGATGATTAATTCAAACAGCAACCCTAACACACTTACTGAGTTCAGTTCAGTTCATTTATTGTACAGTCATCGATCTGCTGGAAGACCCAACCAATCCAGTGGGATTCAACTCTGAGTAAACATGTGTAAGACTGCACCTTCTACAACTGTTTAAACAGGCCCCTCATAGCAGTTTACCCAAAATAACGCACAATTATCTCATAAATCAGCAAACTAAATATTTTTTAATGCTAACAACTGAGCAAGAATTGTTGTCTTAGCTTATTAAAGTCCCAGGGCAAATAAAAACATTTCAGAATGTAGCCCTCTAGCTACTTACTTGAGAGTAGACCTGACTGAACTCTATGGGGCTTACGTCTCAGTAAAGATATATAGTGGGCTCTCAGTATAACCTCAGTTTCCATTGCAGCCCTCCACTCTACTACCATGGATACCAAAATTGGTGGATGCTCAAATCCCATTAAATACATCAACAATGCACTTTGGATAGGGACAGAGAGTAAAACTGGCACAGATGCTACTGTTGTATGCCTTCAAGTGTTTTCCAATGTATGAAGATCCTATGGCAAACCTATCATGGGGTTTTCTTTGCAATATTATTATTATTATTATTATTATTATTATTATTATTAGCCCACCTCTCCCTGCGGATCAAGGCAGGTTACAACAAATAGGAATAACAATAAAATACAATATACAATTAAAACCAGATTTCTAAATAACCCTTACCCCAACCCCCCTCCCAATCATAAAAAGAAAAAGAAGCAAACTAAAAACAATAACAATATAAAATGAATAGCAATATAAAATACTAATTAAAAGCAAAAGAAATAACAAATTAGCTAAAATTAGAGGTAGTTAGAGGTGAGACATTATCTTTTTTGGGGTAGACGGGGGATGTAGACAGGGAAAATTTGTTCAGAGGTGGTTTGCCATTGCCTTTCTCTGAGGCTAACAGAGAGTGACTTCTCCAAGATCACCCAATGAGTTTCCATGGCCAAGCAGGGATTTGAACCCTGGTCTCCTGGAGTCTTGGCTCAAGATGCAAACCACTACACCACAATGGCTGGCATAGCTAACTGGAATTCCAAGTAGAAGCCCATAAGAAAAATTCTGAATTATTGCCAAACTGGGTCAATTTGCTAAGCACTCAACACATTTACAGCTTGACATTAAGCCAAGTTAATATCTGCCTGGATCTCTTTTGAAAGCAATCCTTCTAGCCAGTATTTTGAATGGAACTGCCAAGCCTGGCTGTAGTACAACTCCAGTGGTAAAGTCCAAGGTTTAGCACCTTGCATCAGAAAGTGCCGCTTGAAGGCTGCTTGAAGCCTTGTGCTTAGAATAGATAAGAAATTTCTTTTATGAACTGCTCTGAATTATCTACCACATTCTCTCTTACAGATCTGTAATTTGCACTAACAACCAACATGTAACCATATGGACACAGAGATTATGGAAACAAGCATTTTTCAAAGCAAGAGCCATATTTAAGGCTGAACTTAATCTTATGCATGACTTCCTTCCAGGGCTCATTGAGCTCAATGGGACTTGCTTCAAAACTTACAGTATAAAATTGCACTGTCCAAAACCTCCAGGTTGTAAAACATAGGCCTGAGCGACCCTCTGGCTAACGCAAACACATCATTCAGATCATGTTCTTAAAAGAACAAAAGATGATTCTGTGCAGTACAATTTTCCTAAAATACATTAACCATCAGCATTTGTAAAATTATAATTTGTGCATGTAACAAAAGCAGTACTGTTCTTTTGAATTGTTTCTCCTCAGATACAAGCCTACCGGGTTCAATGGGGCTTATTCATTGGTATGTGGGCTTTGAAGCTTCAGAGGCCATTACAGAGGTGGCAATGCTATCCCTCCAGACACCGTCAGACTACAACTTCCAGCACTCCTTAGCATTGGCAGGCCAGGGCTGCTGGGATCTGCAGACCAACAATATCTGGAGGGCAACATGATTACTAGCCCTGATTTATGGTAACCCAGTGTGATTGGAACAAGGATAGAAGTTAGAGCCTGGAAAAAGTACTTTTGAACTCAATCTCTTAGAGCTGTAGGGCCTTTGCAGACTGCCAGAAATAGTGCAAATTGAGTCCACTTTAAGGGTTAGGGTTAGTGCTAGGGAATCATGGGAATTGTGTTGTTTTTGTTCTGAGACATTGAGCCTTCTCTGTCAGAGAGCTCTGGTGCCACAATAAAATACAGTTCCCACGATTCCCTAACCCTGACCCTAACCCTTAAAGTGGACTCAATTTGCACTATTTCTAGCAGTCTGCAAAGGCCCGTAGTCTAAAATAATTTTTCCAACCCTGAGCAAGGGCTAACATGAAGAATAAAACTATTGCATGGTCCTTTCCACTAATGTTGAAAGTATACTGCCGCATTAAAATCTATTAAGTTATCAGTTGTTGGATTTTTTTATACAAAGGGACAAAACTCAATTAAGTTTTAAATGTAATTAAACTGCATAAATTAAATTTCCCAGGTGATTCTCCATCCAAAGGCTAGCTCCCCTGGAATTTTGCAAAACTACTTTTTGCCTTTTCCTCTCCCCCACTCCCTTAGGGCTGGGGAATTACTGTGTTTAGGTCACAGGATACAAACTTCTATTTTAGTTAATAATTCATTCCAAGATTTACAACCAGCAACTAATAAGGGCAGCTTGGAAGCGGGGGTATGTTCTATGCATCCTGATAATTCTTCTGTGTTCTAAACCAAATGCATATTTTATGATAAAATACATCTAGAAATGCCTGCATTTTATGAAATTGTTTCACAAATGTGTGTTTTGTGAGTAAATATGCTCTTAAAAATACATATTTCTGTGTAGGTTATTCTCTTGAATACTGTTTTATTTAAGAAATGGGACAGAGTGCAGTTTTTAATAAACACATGCACACCAGACATGAATCAGAAAATAGACTAATCTGTATATCCATAAACGGTATCATTTTTTTCTGGATTTTGGATTTTGTTGCATATACTGTAGATACATAGTCTCTCTGCTGGTTCCCATTCAAAATTCAAAGCACTTCTACTATTGTGTTGGCAGGGCAGAAGTTCACAGGGAAAATGCCCCTTTTGCTGCCCCTCCATGCCAGGAAAATGCAGCTAGGAATATATGACTCTTCCACTGTTTTCTTACTGCAGTTCCCATCAGCAGTAGCTAGTACAGTTTACGGTGGGGAACAATGGGAGTAGTAGTTCATCTGGCAGGCGAAATGTTCCCCATCCTTGTTTTTCTTCATCTGAGTTCATCTCAGGCCACAATATATGCTAGTCCCCAGAAATCACGCTCTTCATAAAATTGATTCACATCACACACACACACACACACACACACACACACAGAGAGAGACTGCTTCTGCATACAGGCATCTCTGGACACCAAGCCAGCACTGCATTCCAATCTTCTGAAGCATCTAGATTAACTATATCCTCCTCATACACTGAAAGCAGCCTGCAAAAATATCAGGCATTCCAAATGTTGATTGTATTCTTGGGTAGGGTGGGGGAAATCCAATTTCTCAATGATGATTTAGTGTAAACAAATTCCTGGAGTTTCAACCCCTTTTCTAACTGCTGCTTTCTAGCCTTCTAGTTTTTGTAATTCTCACTCCTCTTGCTGCACAGTATTTGACCTTAGAATCATACAGTCATACAATTATAGAATCATAGAGTTGGAAGAGACCACAACTGTTGACTCATGTTCAACTTGTGGTCCACCTGGATTCCTAGATCCCTTTCACACATAGTCTCATTCAGCCAGCTGTCCCCCATCGTATATCTGTGCTTTTTGTTTTTCCACCCTGAGTGCAGTGACTTACATTTCTCTGTGTTGAATTTCATTTTGTTAGCTTTGGCCCAGC